AAGTCTGAAGAAGAAGGAGAAGAGATGGCAGAGGAGGAGGTGAGGAGGAGAGAGCCTGGGGCCGTGGAGGGAGGAGAAGAACCCCTCGCCTCCTGAACCGGTGTTAAGTACCGGTGGGGACGAGGCCGGCCTCAATGCTGCGAGGCCTGGCCGTGACCTGAACCGTCAAGATTGACGATTCAGATCCGATCGGCGGGCGGCAGCCTCAAAAGCGCCGCCAGGCCCAAAACGAGAATGTCGTTTGGGCCTGCCCGTCGGTCTGGTCCAAAAGTCTGGCCTTTCGGCCTGCTGTACCCCCAAGTCTGGGCCTTTAGGCCCTACTGTGTCCCTCAGGCCCTAAGTCGGGTCCGGTAGGACCTGTGTGGCGTCGAAGATGTAACACACTCCCCCTCTTAAAAGACCGAGCTACCTGCAAGGGCGGAGTTGTCTGTCCGATACCGGGGCGGGTCGGGCGGGACGAGCTGCTTCCTTGGCAAGGCATCGCTTCTCATAGTCGGCGAAGATAAGGGGTGCAGAAGTCTGCAAGTCTGCACTAGAGATCCACCGAGTGTCGTCAGGCGCACATTGCTTGAATGTGACTTTGAACTGCATTGGTTTGTTGCCATACTTGCGGTGCGTGATGACTCGGTCCACTTCCTGATGTCCGTCCATAGAAGGCGGATCCTGTGCTCGACGGCCGGGAAACTCGTCGGCGGAAGGTGACGTGTAGATGGCCAGCTTCGACGCGTGGAAGACTCGGTGCACTGGAAGGTGCGGAGGAATGTTGACCACAAAGGAACGACCTGCGGGGTCGTCTCCAACGGCAGAAGTGACTTCCCATGGTTCGAACCATTTCGGAAGGAGTTTGCGCAAAACGTCCTGCTCAAGCGCAAATTCCTCGGAGAGGACCCAAACAAGGTCTTCCTCGTGGAAAGGACATGGAAGTCGACGTCGGTAAGCTTGCTGCTGCATGCGGATTTGAGCCTTTTGCATATTCGCGCGGGCTTTGATCAGCAAGTCCCGGTACTTCTGAACGGAAGCGGGAGAGCAAGGGACGTCTATGTCGGCGGCCTGTGGCAGAAGGAGATCAACGAAGATCCGTGCTTTCTCTCCGCCATGATGCAACTCGAATGGTGTGACGCAGATCGCCGGGTGCACCGAAGTGTTATAGGTGAACTCGATGTCGGGAAGCCGGTCAACCCAATCTTTCTGGTCAGGACGGATGGGCGTACGCAACATCATCTGAGCGGTCTGGTGTGCTCGCTCCGTCTGGCCATCCGTCTGCGGGTGCCGAGCCAAGCTCGGCTTCATTGTCGTGCCGGACTCAGCCGTAAGGGAAGTCCAAAAGGTCGACATGAAGCGATTATCTCGGTTGCTCACTATGTCGTCCGGTACCCACTGGTTGGTAATCCAACCGGTGTGCAAGAGTCGTGCGAGCTCAGGCGCTGCAGCATGATACTTGAAAGGAAGGAAGCGAGGATACTTGCTCAAACGGTCAATGACCGTGAGAATACCGTCATGGCCGAGGCGATCGTGGGGGAACGGGCCTATCACGTCCATAGAAATGGAGAGGCGCGGTGCCCGAGGAATCGGCAACGGTTTCAGTTCGCCGAAGGGGACTCGAGATCGACCCTTGTTACGGTGGCAAACTGCACATGACTCAATGTACCTCGTGACGTCATGAAGGACGTCGGGCCAGTGAAAACATTGGCGGAGGCGTGCTAACGTGCGGTTTACGCCAAGGTGTGCCAAAAGTCGTGCGTCATGGAATTCGCCGAGAAGACGAGTCCATAAAATGCGATTTTGGGGTATAACTAACAAGTCATTTCCTCTCGTGTGAAGGAGAAGGAATTCGTCGGAAATCCGATTGTGGCTAGCCGGCGGGTGATCCGATGAAAGCTCCGGGTAAAGCGTAGAGTAAGTCGGATCGAACTTGTAGCCTTTGACGAAATGCGGTTGCAGATCATCATCGAGGTCGAATGTCGTGGTCGCAATGGCACAAAAATCGGGCCGTTGTGAGAGGGCGTTCGCAGCTCGATTGGCGGGACCGGGAATGTGGCACGGGTCAAAGTCGAATTGGTCGATGTAATACATCCATCGACCGATCGTGCTATTGACTGTATCCTGCGTTTTATAAAAGGTCAACGGATTGTTGTCCGTATTCCATTTAAAATGCCGACGACCGAGAAGAAAGTGGCGCCACCGTTTGAGAACGGTGACGAACGCGAGTATCTCTTTCTTCCTAGCATCGTCGAGAGTGTTGACGAGAGGCACCTTTTGGGAGAAGTACTCGACCGGATGCCAACCGTCCTCGTGACACTGTTCCAACACCGCACCAATGCCGTATCCCGAAGCGTCCGTAGTCACTTGGGTGGGAAGGGTGGGATCGTATATACGGAGGGCAGGTGCGGCTTGCATCGCTGCCTTCAACGTAGTGAACGCGCCACGGGCTGCGTCGTCAAACTCGAAGGGGACCTTTGGGGACTGAAGTCTCGACAAAGGAGCGGCCACTTTTGAGTATGACTCGACGAATCGCTGATAATATCCAGCCAAACCCATGAAAGAGCGTACATCCGTCGTGCAACGGGGTTCCGGCCAATCCACGATGGCTTGGATCTTGTCCGCTAAGGGACGAATGCCTTTCGGCGTGACAAAGTGACCCAAGTACTCAAGCTCCTATTTGGCGAACTCGTACTTGTCGAGATTTGCTTTGTACTTGGCCAATCGCAAACGATCCAAAACAACGGGAAGGTGTACGATGTGCTCGTCCAACGTCCTACTATAAACCAGGATGTCATCGAGGTAGATAAGGATGCTGTGATCGAGCAAGTCGCAAAACTCAGTCGTCATAGCTGCTTGGAAAGTCGCGGGGGCATTGGTGAGGCCAAATGGCATGACAACCCACTCGAAATGCCCGTACCACGTCTTGAACGCAGTCTTGTACCGATCTTGAGGCTGAATTTCAATCTGGTGGTAGCCCGACTTCAAGTCCAACTTCGAGAAGTGCGTCGCGCCACCTAACCGCTCAAGGAGATCATCAATCCGAGGGAGAAGGTCGGCGTGCTTTACGGTTTATACGTTAAGTTTCCGATAATCGATGCATAACCGTAGATCTTTGTTCTTCTTCCGGAACAGGGGCACCGTAAGGCGAACAACTAGGGCGAATCCAGCCCTTGTCGAGAAGGTCATCGAGTTGTGCGCGAAGCACCTCGAGTTCCTCTTCGCTCATGCGGTAAATACATCCACGCGGAGGGACGACACCAGCCTCGAGAGTGATCCCGTGATGTATGGGCCGATCCGGAACCGTCCCGGTGGGAGCCTCGAAGACGTCTCTATACTCGTGCAAGAGGTGAGAAATACGTGGGTCCGACGGTGACGCGGCTGGTCCGTCTGACGAGGGGAGAGCATGCAAGAATACAAGGCCCATCTCCTCGACGTCATTCCGAGCAATGGCGTCGCGAATTCTCGCAACGGAAACCACGTGACAAGCAATCGAAGTGTGAGGGGTCGTGATCGTACATGGGACTAACACTCTGTTTCGATCACGAATGTGAACAGTCCGGTTATGGAAGTTCACCAGATGATCGGCGCTACGCAACCAAGACATGCCCAGAATCATGTCGAACTTGGTGTCGAGGATGTCAAAAGACACCGGCCCACACGCAAGTGGCGCAAAGTATACCGGAAGGTTGTCGACGCATCGGTCAATAGATTTTTGCGTGCAGCCGTCCGCGAGTGTAACTTGTGTGGGTTGCGTCTTCCTTCGAACGAGCGGGCCAAGGCCTGTGCAGGCCATAAAGGCTTGGCTCATAAAGTTGCGAGACGCTCCGCAATCAATCAAGGCACTACAGGTGGCCTTTCCGATTTGAATCCGGATAAAGAGCAAAGAAGCGTCGGTTTCGTCGTACCTTTGGGTGGCGTACTCGCGGTTAATCTTCGCAAGATAGGAGCGGAGATCGACAATCGCTACTGTAGTGTGCAAATAGGAGCGTAGATTTGCCATCACGGGCGTTGCAATGCAACCTTGGCAAGGTTCCGGTCGAGGGTAGAGGCATCCAAGCGAAGTCCTCTCTTGTGAGCGGGTTAAGCTTCTGAAGTCTTGACCACGCCGTCGAGTCCTCGAAAATCAGTGGCGAGCTGACCGGATCACTTGCCGACGGTGTACAGGCTGCGCATACACAATCTAAGTGCACGTGGCTCGGCTGGTTTAATGGTGGTACCAGTTGGGCGGCATAATCCTCGTACGTAGCACGAGAATCAGCGACTAACGCATGCTCCCCGGTAGTGACATCGATTGCTAGCAAGGCAACCGGTTCCGGCGGAGTGAGGAGAGATGTCGACTCTTTCCTTACGCAACTCATTTTCCCGAGTTCGTTGGACGGGGTACACGTGCCTTGCCCTTTTCGGGGCATTGTGCGGTCAAGTGAGCGACTCCATTGCACCAAAGGCAATATCCGTACCGTTGTCGAAGATCAAATACTTCCTTGGTTATATTGAACGCCGTCCATGGTTGCTGCCCAGATCCCGTCGATGTGGTCGCTTGTGTCGCCTTGTTCTTTCGAACTCTCTTGGGACGCTTCGGCGGGAGCGCTGCGACAGTTCCTCCATCTTGAGGATGCTGCTGCAGCGTGGAGATCAACTGTTTCTTCAGAAATCACGGCATTGTTATGTGTCGGTCGTTGATAGCCTTGCTTTGCCACATAGTGCGGTTGGGAGTGCCATTCGTTAGCGGCCTTGTCATCCGTTTGGATGACCAGGTTTGCACGATCCAGAATAGCCTAGAATAAGGCATAATCATACTCGTCGCCGAGTGCGGTTCGCAGTCCTGCGCACGATCGCGAGAAGAACTCGGATCGTTGGTTTGTAAAACTCAAATCGAAGCCTGGCGTGGTCACTATCTTCTGCCACTTGATTGTCCAGTATCGAGTTGGCATGTTTCCCTGTGAGCAAGTGTAGACCTCGTTCATGGCCGCCTTCACAACGTTGCGGACCATGAATCGAGTGAACCACATTTGTTCAAAATCCTCCCACATGAGGTGTTTATGTAACTCAGCGATAGTGGTTCCCTTGTTAATTGCGAGATGGTTCATCCACACTTGCGCACCTCCAATGAGTTGTAGGTATAGTGTCTTCATCATGTCTTCGCCCGGGACCTTGTGGCAGGACGCTTCGGTGAGGAAGGCTTGCCACCATGTCAAAGCGTCGGTCTTGTTGTAGTCCTCGAACTTGCCGATGTTGAAATGTGGCATCTTGTAGACTTCCGCAGCTGGTGCCGGTTGCGACTGCAGCTTGGTGATGTCCGTCTTGAAGGCGGCCATTGTGCTGCTGATCGTAGCCGGACTGGTGAAGCCACTTGGATCGTCGATTAGGTTGACAACATGGTCGATGCGCTCGCTGAGCTGTTTCGCCGTGTGTGTCGTGCAGCCTGGCGCTGCTGAGACCTTAGCCTCGATGCTGTTGACATGTGCGGTAGTGGTGCTCAACAGCTGTTGCTGTTGTTGCTGATGTGTGGCGGCAGCACGAACAGCGGTTGTTAAGGCTGCAACATCTTTCTGCTGAGTCTGTCGCAGCTGTCTGCCCTCGTGTATCTGCACAGTTAACATCGTATTGGTCCACATTACCGCCCGCATCACGTTCAGCATCAGGTCAGCCAGGTTACTCCATTCTTCCTCCGCCGGTGTCGGATCCGCCTGTGTATCCGAAGGCACAAAAAGCATGCCTTGGAGCAGTGTCGTCCAGTGACTCTCATTCTGAGTCAAGGACTCCATGCTGATGGTGTTCCGCTTATCTCGAACCACGGCGTCAGCCTCAGCAGTCCGCTGAGTTTGGGCTTCCGCCTCACTGGCCAGCCGCTGACGTTACGCCTCTACTGCCTCCTGCTGTGCCTTTGTGGTAGCTACGGCATCCGTAAATGCCTGTACCCGCTGAAGGTAAGCCGACAACGGCTCACTGGCCCCTTGGACCGGACATGCAGGAAGAGCCCCGGTGGTGACTGGTACTGCCGTAGTTGTATTTGATGCCGCTGGAGTCGTCCGCCTGCTGAGTCGCTATTGCTGATACTTAGACCGTGGAGGTACCACAGAACGACTACGAACTGCGAGCCTGGCACTGCGTCGTGGCAGTGGCCCGGTGTCCTGTTCCGTCGACATCAGCACAAGCCGATGTGGTACCTTAGAAGTCCCGGTGGTCACAGATTGCGGGGAGGGTAGGGAGAGTGGGAACAGGGGTAGACAAATCAATCAATTCGCATACAGTCCCTGTCCCAATGATGGACTACTTAGACACCTAATCAAATAGGAAAAATTCGAAATAAGAAATAATAATTAATTAAATATCAAATTAAATGATTAATAATGAATTCAAAATTCCTAATAATCAATAAAACAATAATGCAATAATGATAATTACCGAATTTTAAATTGTGACAAGATTAGGTATCAGTTGAGATCTCCTATGGTCCGGGAGTTCACCGTTGATGAGTGAACTACCCGGAAGTTGCAATTCTGAGGGAACGATTCCGAACAGTTTGCCAAAAAAAAATTCGGAAAAATCAGGAAGAAAAACACTCGATTTTTCGAAAAACGTAAAATTTTGGGAATTCCGACCAACAAAATCCGATTTTATAAGGCCTAAGTCCGTTTTCGGAATTGTTCAAACTAGGGAAAGAAAAAAAAAATCGAAAATTTTGGAGCCCAACGATTCCGCGGAATTTCCAGTTTTACGGTACCAAAACATTCGAATTTCCCAATTTGAACAAAATCTGAAATTTATCGTAACCCTAATCTCCAATACTGAAATAAAACGGAAATACTGATTTAGAAAAACGAAATACAGGAGTTAAAACAGAATGCTGAAATAAAAAACGGAATGCCGAATTGAAATCAGAATGCCGATTTAAACAGAATTGTAATGACCCGCCAAAAACACAGACTGGCAACACTGCTGATTTCTGGGATTTGCCAATGGAATGAATGCCTTGCTGTGATTCCCGCATTCTGCTGTGGCCCCAAGTCTGTGTGTATGCGTGCCTGCTGGTTTGCAT